GGGAATCAAACTGGCGACCTCTTGGTGCATGGGTCAACGCTCAACCACTGAGCTGCACCGGCCTTGCAAAACATAAAATGTTCTATGTTCACAGACAAGATATTATACGTAGAAAATTCTAAAGATTGCACACTAAAAACTATTAGAACTAATGAATTCAGCAAACTTGCAGGATACAAAATCAACACCCAAGAATCAGTTGTTTATATATACCAACTACGAACAATTAATTCAAAAGGGAAATTAAGAAAATAACTCCTGCCCTGGCCGGTTTGGCTCAGCGGTTAGAACGTCGGCCTGCGGTCCGGAGAGACCCGGGTTCAGTTCCCACTAAGGGCGCGTACCTCGGTTGCGGTTTGTCCCCAGCCCTGGTCGGTCGTGCGGGTGGCAGCCACTCGATGTGTTCCTTTCACATCGATGTTTCTCTCTCTCTCTCTGTTCCTCTCTCGCCCTCCCGCTCTACCTGAACAAAAAAACAAAAAACAAAAGAAAGAAAGAAAACAACTCTATTTATAATAGCATCAAGAAGAATAAAATACTTAGGAATAAACCTAACCAAGGAGGCAAAAGACTTGTACACTGAAAACTACAAATGTTGCTGAAAGAAACTGAAGATGATACCAATAAATGGAAAGACATCCTGTGGTCATAGATTGGAAGGCTTAATATTAAGATGTCAATACTACCCAAATTAATCTACAAATTCACTGCAATCCCAACCAAGTGTTTTGCAAAAATAGAAAAAAATCCATTCTAAAATGGATTTTTATTTTTCGAAGTAACGCCATATTGTTTTCCATAGTGGCTGCACCAGTCTGCATTCCCACCAGCAGTGTACTAGAGTCCCCTTTTCTCTACACCCTCGCCAACACTTGTTGTTTGATGATTTGTTGATGGCGGCCATTCTGACAAGTGTGAGGTAATACCTCATTGTTGTTTTAATTTGCATCTCTCTGATGATTAGTGATGTTGAGCATTTCTTCATATGTCTCTTAGCCATTTGTATGTCCTGTTTGGAGAGCTGTCTATTTAGTTCCTCTGCCCATTTTTTAATTGGGTTCTCTGTCTTCCTTTTGTTGAGTTGTATGAGCACTCTATATATTTTGGAAATTAACCCCTTATCTGATGTATCGTTGGCAATTATGCTCTCCCATAGATGGGTTGCCTTTCCATTTTGGTGGTTGTTTCTTTTGCTATGCAGAAGCTTTTGAGTTTGATGTAGTCCCATGTGTTCATTTTGTCCTTTGTTTCTGTTGCCTTAGGTGATGTATCACATCAGTAGATGAATGGATAAAAAAGCTGTGGTACATATATACAATGGAGTACTATGCAGCTGTAAGAAAGAAAGATCTCTTATCCTTTGAGAAGACATGGAGGGACCTGGAAAGTATTATCCTAAGGGAAACAAGCCAAACAGAGAAAGACAACTACCATATGATCTCACTTATTTGTGGAATATAATGAACATAACAGTCTGAGGAATGGGGTAGTCCCAGAGACGTGGAAGTGGGGTACAGACTGGCAATCCCCAGAAGAAGGGGTTGGTGAAGAGATAAACCACAGAACTTATATGCATGAATGCATGAACAATGGACATGGACAACAAAGCTGGGGGGAGGGGAGGGAGGAATCAGTGTGGGGGGAAGGAAAAACATCTGTAACAAAAATAAATTAATTAGCCCTGGCCGGTTTGGCTCAGCGGTTAGAGCGTCAGCCTGCGGTCCGGAGAGACCCGGGTTCGGTTCCCGCTAGGGGCACGTACCTTGGTTGCAGTTTGTCCCCAGCCCTGGTTGGGTCGTGTGGGTGGCAACCACTCAATGTGTCGCTTTCATGTCGATGTTTCTCTCTCTCTCTCTCCCACTCACTCTATCTGAACAAAATATCGAAAAATGTCCTCGGGTGAGGATAAAAAAAATAAAATAAAAATAAATTAATTAATTAAAAAAGAAAAAATAAATAAATAAAATAAAATGGATTTTTATAACATACTAGAATCTCTAGGTACTCCAAATAGCTAAAATAATCTTTTTTAATGTTTTTCTCTTTTATTTGTATTTGTATTTATTGATTGATTTGAGAGAGAGAGAAGAAAAAAACAAAACACTGATTTGTTGTTCCACCCATCCATGTATTCATTCGTTAATGTGCCCTGACTGGGGATTGAACCCGAAACCTTGGCATGCCAGGACAATGCTAACTAAACCCAAAAACCTTAGCATTTTGAGACAATGCTCTAACCAATTGAGCTAGTTGGCCAGGGCAGCCAAAACAATCTTTAAAAATAAAAACAAATTTGGAGCTCTTACACTTTCTGATTTTAAAACTTACTGAGCCCTGGCCAGTTTGGCTCAGCAGTTAGAGCATCGGCCTGCGGTCCGGAGAGACCCGGGTTCGGTTCCCGCTAACGGCATGTATCTCGGTTGCAGTTTGTCCCCGGCCCTGGTTGGTCGTGCGGGTGGCAGCCGCTCGATGTGTCCCTTCACGTCCATGTTTCTCTCTCTCTCTCTTCCTCTCCCTCCCACTCTACCTGTACAAAAAATGGAAAAGTGTCCTCGGGTGAGGATAAAAAAAAGAAAAAAACTTACTGAAAGCTCCAGTTATCAAAACAGTGTGACACTGGCATAAAGATAGACATGTAGAGGAAGGAGAGTGGGAAAAATCTGCAGGCACATCCAGTGCCCAGGGAGTTCCAGGTAGAACCCTGTGAGCTCAGCCAGTCTCACATAGGCCCTGGTAGTTGTCACCCAAAAGAACACCACAGGGGGGTTAGAAACCTTATGGAGGTTTCTTCTATAGCCACACACTAGTTAGTACCTAGGGTGATCTCCTGGTCCTAGGGTGATCTTCCTAGGCCTCCCATTTGGCCTGGAGTAGTCCTCCCCTTCAGAGAGGAATTCAAAAACACTTTGGAAAGGCACATCCTAAAAGTGGAACCCCCAAGACATCTGATGGTCAGAGAGTGCTTCACCAGCCTCCCTGTCTGGCCCAAGTCAGTCCCAATTTCTGATAGAAGACTTAGAAAACTATCCCTAAATGTAAAATAAAATGGGGGAGGGGCGCACTTGTAATGCTTGGAACCTGTTGTGGGTTGAATTGTATCACCCTAAAATTATAACCTCCAGTAACTAAGAATGTGATCTTATTTGGAAATAGGGTAATTGCAGAAGTAATTAGTTAAGGTGAGGTCACTGAGTTTGTCCTTAATCCATTATGACTGGTGTCTTTATAAAAAGGGGAAATTTGGCCTGGCCAGTGTGGCTCGCTGGTTGAGTGTCGACCCATGCACCAAGAGGTTGCCAGTTCGATTCCCGGTCAGGGCACATGCCCAGGTTGTGGACTCAATCCCCAGTGGGGGGCATGCAGGAGGCGGACAATCAAGTCTCTCTCATACATGCTTCTATCCCTCTCTCCCTCTCCCTTCCTCTCTCTCTGAAATCAATAAAGAAAAAAAATTTTCAGAGAGCACCCCTAATAACCAGGACCCAAGAGGGACAGAACCTGAGCCCATGGGTCTACCTGTTCAGACCACACCAGTGCCTCTCCTTTGGATGGGGACATGAATGTTTTCAGGAGGCACCACCAGGGAGGCTCAATACCAGGACCCATGCAGAACCACAACCTGGCCCCGGTGCCCACCCTGAGTCTCTCTGGCTACCCCGTGCCAGCCCCATCACCAAAGGAAAGAGGTTCACAGGGATGCATCCAGCCTATCAGGCTCCGTGCAGGACACAGGGAGGGCAACCTCCACCAGTCGCCTTGGCCAGCCCAGAACAGTGCCCACCTTTGGAAGAGGACTTGGATAAGTCTTCAGGTGGTGTATGTACATTTGGACCTAAGATATCATCCCTGGGGTGCACAGCCCAGCCCACCCTGATCTCTGCCACCAGAGGAATACTTCTAAGCAATTTTGGTGGGCCCAAAACAAGACAGCATACAGCCCTGGCACAAATGCTCATTATTACCCTGGCTGACTCTGCTGCCTCCCCCCTCTGGCTGGAAAATTTTCAGGAAGGCTCAACTGGTGTGGCTCAGTCGATTGAGTGTCGTCCGGTGCACCAGGAGGTCGCTAGTTCGATTCCCAGTCAGAGCACATGCCTGGGTTGTGGGCTCGACCCCCCATAGAGGGCATGCAGGAGGCAGCCGATAGATGTTTCTAGCTCGCTCTCTCTCCCCCTTCCTGTCTCTCAAATCAATTAAAAAAAAAAAAAAAAAGGCATTAACAAAAATGTTTTCGTTTTCAGGAGGTGCACCCAACAACTGGACCCCATGCAGGATGGCAACTACACGATCTCCGGAAATCTCTCGGGTCCAGCTCTTTAGGGGAAGACGTAGAAAAAGTTTCCAGAGGCACAGTTGGCACTCAGGTCCTACCAGTGACCTCATCCGAACCAGGGTGCACTCCCCAGAGATTCCTAGCTGGCCTAGGCTTATGGTTGTCCTCCTCACCCCGCCCCAAAGGGCACTTGGAAATATTTTCTGGAGGTACATCCGACTGGGGGGAAGGGTAAAAGTGCTGAATGCTGGTCTCCCGTGGGCTGCAGGTGGAACCCACCCCCAACCTGACACCACCCTGTCCTGAGCTCAGCCCCACTTCCACTTGGTTCAGCCCTCCCCTTCCCAGCTGAGCCCAGACCCTCCCCAATTAAACTCGGCTAACCACACACAGCCACAAAGCACCTTCAAGGGGCCTGCACATAGAAGTCACTTACTTTTGACCCTAAACCTCCTATTTCATCAGGTCTCCTTCCAAAACTGATCCCAGAGCACATCAAAATGAGGGCATGTCAGGCTCGCTCTCTTTTTCTCTCCTGGGAGGCCCGCAGCTCCAATCCACCTGTTCCAAGTCCTGCTTTGGGATTTACCTCTGAATCCATTTCCTCCCCCAGGACCTCCCAGACTCCTTGCCTCACAGCCAGATCCGGGAGGTCCCAGGGTATGTCTGGTTCACGAAGGCTCCTCAAGACAGCTGTACAATGGCCTAGGTGCAGGGAGGAGAGAAGCAGGACTGGTGGACAGAGGAGTGGATGAGGCAGGGTGTGAACACTAGAGTCTGGTGTAAGGATTCAGGCAGCCAAGTGACTCTCTGCAAGGCTTCGGATCAAGGGTCAGCTAGAGATTACAGACCTTTCTGGGTCATAAATTTTATCACCCTCAAAAAAAAGCACTCAGTCACACCTCGACCCGAGGCTTGGTAGTGGCATTTTAATGGCTTTCACTGGTGCAACAGCAGCAAGAAAAGAGGACGTTTGCCCCACCTCTGCAGGAGGGGGCTGAGGTGGAGAAGGGGGCAGCCTGCCCCCAGCAGGTCTAACCATCCTCTTCCCATTGGACTGAGGCCAGGAAGGTGCGGATTTCCATGGGCTGCAGTGTGATGCTGGCGGGGTCCAGCCGGCAGGGAGAGGGCTTGAGTGTGGGGCCTGGCGAGGTGCAAGGGAACAGTGAAGGGCACAGACTTACTCTGCCTCACTCCTCCACCCCCGTGCTCCCTCCCCTGGGCCTAGACATAGCCATTCACCCTCAAATCTGTCCCCAGGGCCTCACTACCAGACTGTTCAACAGCTTCCCAGGGCCTGGATACCACTCCCAGACTCCCAAATCCTTCCCAATGCCTGGCCAGCTCCCACACACCCTCAAGCCCAAACTCAAGGTTAATGAACAACCCCACCCCACATCCTGAACTAGACACTGACACAGACTCAAATACTGTTCTTGAGACTGACTGGATGCCAACCTCAAACACCCAAGACCCACCACTAGTTTGCTGTACCTACTTAAGACCCTTAAACCCCTAACCTGGATCTGAACATTGCCCCAGATCCTCAAGCTGGACCTGGGTCCTGGCCAACATTCCCACACCTCCCACACAGCCCCCAGCTCCCGGCCCCAGGGGCTGGCTCCCACCCGTGTTCGGTGTCCACTGGAGCCTGGAGGCACTGGCCTGGAGCTGGTTAGCAGCCAGCGTAGTCTCCTTAAGGTTGGTGATGGTGAAGGCAGAGAACAGATCCTGCGGGTAGTAGGTGGGCCGGTCTGAGTTGGGTCAAAGAGGGGTTTCCCCACTCCCCTCTTGCTTCTCTCCTGTTTCCTTCACAGCTCTGCCCTCCTCACCCTCAAGTCCAAAGTAACTGGAGAGCTCAAGTTGCCGCTCATGTCCTCCCCGACCGCGAACTGGTGCTCCAAGCGCAGCAGCAGCATTTTCGGGCCCCAGCGGGCCAGTGTGAGCAGGTGCACACTGGGCGGCAGTTCCCGGCGCAATCCGGAGAACTTCGGGAAAGAAGAGGAAAGAAGCAGGGCGAAGGGGGGTGACGGGGCGGAGGAGGGGGGTGAACTTGAGGGGCGGGGCAGACTCCAGGCCCGAAGGCTAAGATCCGACTTGGGGGGAGGGGTTTAGCTGTGAGGGGAGCAGTCTAGCCGGGTTCATGGGGGCGGGATTTAACCTGGGAAAGACCCGGCTCAGTCCGAAACACGAGGGCTAAGCCAATGAGGGATGGGGCAGTGCTAGGTTGGGGGCGGTATGAATTGATCAGGCCTGAGACCCCAGTGAGGGCGGGATGAATGGACAAGGATGGGGCAGAACCGAGCCTAGGGGAGATAAGAAGGAGGGAACGAGGTGAGGAAGTAGGAAACCTGGAGAGGTGGGAGCTGAGGATGTGAACAAGTCTAGGCGGGATGAGACTGAGCAGCGACTGGAAGCTAGCTAGATCATGGCCTTCCCAGGAAGAGTTGGGGCCTGCAAGATGCGTCCTGGCTAAGCCTAAAGGGACCCTTCCCCACATCAGCCACCATCTGGCTCCTCTCTTTCTGTTGGCCTGCCACCCGCCACCCCTCACCTGCTTGCGCGCCACCCCTCACCTGCTTGCGCGGGGCGACCTCCAGATGGTACGGGGTGCCGCCACCCCGGGCCAGCACAACCTGTGGGGCCAGGAGCTCCTTTTCTGCCTCTAACCGGTGCCTAACAGCCGCGGTCTGGGCTTTGTCCAGCAACACGAGGTGCCGCCCTCGTACCCACAACCCCGACTCCGACTCCAGCAGCGGCTCCCCAACTCCACGTGCATCGTCTCTCAGCAGCCGTCGGTGCACCTGCGGGGAGAGTGGCCAGGAGAGGCTGAGGGACCCTCTGGCCAATTTCGGGGCCAGATATTGTAAGAACTTAAAGAAAAAATGAAGATTGTGAAGATCGGATGAGAATGAAGGTCTGGGAGGGAGACCCCAGCAAAAGTATGGATCCTACCTAGCAGAGGACTAGGTCTAGGGGAGGTAAGGACCTAACGGAGGTCTAAACAGAACAGGTCAGGAAGTAGAAGGGGTGCCCCAGTAGCGATTGGATAAAAAGCATGGAGTAAACGTCTCACTTAGGAATGGAGGTCTCAGCTTAGTGGGACCCCAAACAGAGGGGTGCACCTAGCAGAGAACTGGAAGATAAATTAGCTTCACGGTCCAGAAGAGAGCCAGGGTGGGAACTGGTGGGAGAACCCTCGCTTAGATGAGGCTCAGACCACTCACCATGAGCTCTATGGAGCCATCTCTCAAGCTGCTGCCCCCCTGGGAGCGGTCAGTCAGCACAGTCAGCTGCACATTCTGATCCTGTGAAGCAAGGGGGGAGAGTGAGGAAGCACACTGCCAACCAGCCCTAGCCCCAAGCAGGCAACACGGGATATGGTGGACACTGCCAAAGACAGTTGGGAGATGCTAAGAATGAGGGGTGACACCCACTGTGTAGAAGAGTATCTGAGAGAGGTGGGGAGCAGGATAGGGGAGGGGGTACCGTAATGTAAATACGGCTGTTGACTGGATAGTAGTTTCCTGCCACTGGCTCAGTCTGGTTTAGCTTCCAAGTGGGTCGATAATTCCTCCTGGGGAGAGAAGGGGAAGGGTTTGGTCAGACCCAGGCTCTGACTCCCCTTTCCTAGTTCCCCTTCCTCAGCTCATCCATTCCTCACTCCCCTTTCATCCTCTCCCTCCCACACTCAGAGGATTAGCAGATGCCCCCATCACCCATGGGTCCCCAAAACCACAGACCACCCATGGGGGCCCCCAGTCACCCCCACCTCCTCTCCAGGATCTCCCGGCCATTGCTGTCAGTGAAGAAGAGTCCTTTTGTCTCCAGGGCAGTGTCAAAACGACTGATGACTTCCTTCCCCCAGCCATCACTATTCCAGATGGAATGACAAAGTTGTGAGCCTCGCCTACTTCCACTCTGCCCCAGCACACCCCCTCTTAGTCCCAGCCTGTGCCACTCACCCTACAGGTATTGGTCCCACTGTCCACTCCAGCTCCAGGTGCCGCTGTCCTGGGTACAGGCGAACCACCTGGGAACACCAGGCTGAGAAGTTCTGGTGCACCTCCTGCACCAAGTCCGTCTGCAGGCACATTGGGCAGGTGTGAGCCCACACTTGAGTGGAGGTGAACCCTACAAATGTCCACCTCTTTGTGAACCTCACAAACACCTACATAAGGGTACACCCCACTAATAGCATGAGGATCCCACTTACCTGCCTCACCTGCCTAGGTGTGATGCCCACACTTCCCACTACAGTCATTACCACATACATCTTGAGTGTGGCATACATGCTTGCTGCCCACCCCTACCCCATCTTGCCTCCTTAGAACAGGATTCTAACTGGGCATGTAGATACCTGGAATAAAAAAGACTGTATTGCCCAGTCTTCCCTGAGGCTATCAGTAGCAGTGTGACTATGGTCTGCCCAATGGAAAGTAATCAAAGTATTGTGAATGTTTCTTGCCCCTTTCCCTCTCCCACTAACTCAAGTGCAAATGTAAAGGCTGGAGCTTGAGCAGCCTTCTTGGGTCATGAAGTAGAAGCTGAATGTTGAGGAAGGCAGAGCAATGAAATTGAAGGGGTCTTAATGACTATGGAACCACTCCACCTAACCTGGATGGCTAAGCCAGACTTTCTGTTCCATGGGAGAAAACCTGCCTTGTTTTCAGCAGTTAATTTGAGTAACTCTGTAACAATAGTAAAACTATATCCTAAAAGAATATATATATATATATATATATATCCTAGCCCAGGTATGCAGACATTCACTGCAAGGGGAGTCATGTCAAAGGTGAATCTTACCATTACCTGCCCCATTTCCATCCAAAAAGGAAATATCAACAAGAAGCCCTGGGAAACCCCACAAGTGTGAGCCCCTGTTTCCAACCAGATGCACACTCAGATACCTACCCTGAGTGAGAATCACTGAAGCCCTAACCAACTGTGAACTCTCCAATATCCACTGCAAGTATAATCCTGTCCTAACACAGATCCTTGGGGAACTCTTCAAGAAGCTGCATCTCCCTATTCATGGGCCAAGTGGGAATATACCACACTGAGTTTCAAAAGCTAAGTAATATACTAACACTCACAGCAGATGTGAATACCTTTCTATGCCACAGCATACAAAGCTGAAGACCAGCCCTGTGCAAGGATCCTCAAATCTTCCCCTCAGGACTTAGCCCTCTGATCTGATGGAGACGCAAATCCTTTCCCCACCCCCACCCCAAACATTGCACACCACCCTCCCAGGCTCCAAACCACCCAAAGCCCATCATTATTCCTGGCCCCAGACCTTCACCAGGCGGGTTTGAGCCCAATGACTTATGAGCAGAGGTTCCTGTTGGTTGGGTCTGAAGATGTAGGCACCTGAGACCTGGGTGCTTAGGTTGTTGCCTGTACTGGCGTTGTACCTAGGGCCAGGGCAGGTGAGCGTCAGGCAAGGGGCCCCAGCTATGCTCCCACCCCCTTTCCTGGCCTGGTTGTCATCCCTCACCAGTAGAAGGTTTGGCGAATAGGCAGCAGGAGGTCCTGCTCCAGGTTCTTCATCTCCACCAAGAGCCCGGTGTCAGGGTCAAACCTAGCCCAGATGTACTGGACAGAAAACAGGACAGAATTTAATGACCATCCCTTCAGCCAAGGGCAGCTTCGTCCTCGGACTCAGGAGAAAACCCTGGAGTCAACCTTCCTTTCTTCTCTCTCTCCCTCCTCACTCCTGACCCTACTAGCAAATCCTAACAGCTCCACCTTCCACCTTATCCTCAATCTGACCACTTATCACCACCTCCGGGGCCTTTCTGGACTAGTGACTGCTGCTGACCCTTTCCTGGTTACCCCCATCTGTTTCCCCCCATAGCTGCCAAGGTCAATGCAACCCCCTAAATCCAATCTTCGGCTAGTCTGCTGGAGGACCAGGGCTGCTAGTGCAACTGACAGGAATCACAGTGCCAGAGTCCACAAGACTTCTAAAGACCCAGGAAAATTTATAAATTTTCATTTCTTTTAGAGCTTTTGTGTCTGCTGTTCCCTGCCTGTCTAGATTCCTCTTCCCCCAACGGCCACATGGCTCCCTCCCTCGGGTCTCTGACACACCTTCACTTAATTTGCAAACCCTACCATCATCAGCTTTGACATATCTGTCAAGGGCCACCCAAGACCACACTAGGCCCTCAAGACAGCCCCAGTAGAGGACACTGAGACTCAAGGAAAGCAGTCACTCACTCAAGAACACACAATGGAGGGCTGATGACATTACACCATAAACCCAAGACCTGCTGACCCAGAGTGAATACAGCCCACCATGACACCTCAACCTTGTCACCAGAGCAGGGAAGGGGATCTGAATGGGGCTTCACCTCATTTTGAATGGTCAAGTCTCGGGACGAGGGCTTCTGAAATCGAGGCTGGGGCACGGGAGCCCGTGGGCTCCTGCCAGGCACTTGGGTTACTGAGTAGATGCTGAAGCCGAGGGCAGGCACTGAGGCTGAGAAAAGCAGCTCCTGTCCGTTTGAGCTGGGCATTGTCACCACCTCAGATAAGGGAGAAGGGAAGCTGAGTAAAGAGGCTGGGCATACACACATAGAGGTGCACATAGAGGAAGGGGCCACAATCCAGGAGGGGAAGGAGTTCCAGGATGGAGAGAAGAAATTTAGACGTTGGGTGAGGAAAATGAGGGGTGACAGAAACTCTGAATTAAAGATTGCACAGAAGCCCTGGCCGGTTTGGCTCAGCGGTTAGAGCGTCGGCCTGCGGTCCTGAGAGACCCGGGTTCGGTTCCCGCTAAGGGCACGTACTTCGGTTGCAGTTTGTCCCCGGCCCTGGTTGGTTGTGCGGGTGGCAGCCACTCGATGTGTCCCTTTCACATCGATGTTTCTCTCTCTCTCTCTCTCTTCCTCTCTCTTCCTCCCACTCTATCTGTACAAAAAATGGAAAAATGTCCTCAGGTGAGGATAAAAAAATAAATAAATAAAATAAAGATTGCACAGAAGATTCATTAAATGGAAAACAACCCACCAGGAGGGTAGAGAGACTGTAGGAAGGGGGAGAAGTGAGGGAATAAATGGGGGAAGAGATCTTTGAGGCAGGGGAGTGAGGAAAAGACAAGATACTAGGGAGAGAAAGAGGTTCATGGGAAAAGGCCTTCCAGGATGAGGGGAATATTCATAAATAGAAAATATTTCATGGGGAGATATTAAAAAGAGGGAGATACTCACAGGGGAGGAATGTTCCCAGGAGGTATCATATTAAGAGGCAGAGGTGGGGGATTCAGAGTAGGAAGAGAAAGTAGTGGATGGGAGGTATTCATGGGCAGGGCAGGTATCCATGAAGGCAAGAAAACATGGCATCCAAGAGAGGGCGGTGTCCATGGGGGAAAGGGAGAAATGCCCATGAGGGGAGGTAGTCATAGGAGAAGGGTGTTCATAGAAGGAATATTTATTAAATGGGCTCACATTGTTGGGCACAACTGTGCCACTGGGATCCTTTACAAGGAAAATGTGTTTGCTGACTGGAAGCCGCACCATCCAATCTACTTTCCGCCCCAAAGGGTTATAAATGGTCACCTGGAACTGGGGTGGGAGGATCAGAGTGGGCATGACTCACAGCAGGCCTTCTCCAGACCCATCCATGATGCACAGCAAGGACCCAAGTCCCCATGTGATCTCTGTCCAGCCCCAGCTTCACTGCGTCCTACGTGATCTGGCCCAGAGCGACCCCCCATCTCCTCTTCACCCAGCCGCGCGGATTCGCAGGTTCTCATCCCACCCACTGGACCCATCCCGGTCCCAGGCGTGGCTCACACTCTCCGCGGTCTGGCTGAGCGGACAAAGGCTGATGTTAAGGTTGCGGCAGAAAGTGAACTCCACCTTGGAGCCGCTGAGCCGCGCCAGCGCGTTGCTCAGGAGAACCTGTGGAGGAGCAAATGGGTCCACTGCAAGCCCACTGTGTAGTCTCCACTCCCCAACCCGGCCCCGCCCCACTAGCCTTTCCAGGTCTCTCCCCACTCCAGTCTCCGGCCCCTTTCATCCCAGGCCCCGCCCCACGAGCTCTTATAGGCTCCGCCCTGCTGCCTCTTTCTGATCCATTCCTGTCTACGGCCCTTCTACCACAAGCCCCGCCCCACAAGCCGTTTAGACCCCCGCCCACTGCCCTCGACCACGCCCCTCCCTGTCTCTGCCCTTATACTCCAGGCCTGGCCGCAAGCACCTCGCAGGGTCCCCAGCCTGCTGCCAGCTGGCGCGCGTAGTCGTCTGCCACGTGCTGCTGGGAGGTCCCACTGACTGCATCGTGGTGCTGGAGCACTGCCATTGCCTCATCTGCAGGCAGATGGAGGTGAGCAAGTGGTAAGCTGGGTGGGATCACTACAGGACTGAGCCCTGACCTCAAGGAGATACAAAAGGTCTCGTACAGGGGAGCCAGGGTTCTTAGGGGCTTTCAGAAGGGACTCAAGGATGAGGCGGAGGTCTGGTGCCCCGTTTGAGCCCCGTCCCCATCCCTACCCCGTCACTGACCAGACACCTACTGAGGGGTGCACTGTCTCCAGAGCCATAGGGTCCCACGTTGGCCGCGGGACCTGCCAGCGCCTCCAGCTGGTTGCACACCTGGGGGGCAGGGAATATGTTGAGGCATGGGGCCTGTCAGGACCCCTGGGCTGCCTCCTTGAGTCCAGGACCCACTCACCTGCAGGAAGTTATAGCTGAGGCGCTCATAGCGTTTGAGAGCTGGCCGGCTGGAAAAGTAGCCAGTCCAGAACATATGGGGGCCATCAGCATAAGGGAAGAAGTCATCTTGTTTCACCGACCTGCAGTGGCAGAGGCATTGAGAGTAAGGTCACTACCCACAGGGCATTCCAACCCCCCGAGCTTCCCAGGCCCCCCAAATACCAGGTGAGGTTGGCCTTGTTCAGCTCCCAGAGGTAGCAGGCTGGAGTAGAGTAGAGAACATTGACACGGCTCCCATTGGCCTGCTGCAGGGGGAAAGTGTGGCATGTGTGAGCCCTTGGTAGTCTGAAACTTCCCCGGGGGGGGGGAGGGGGGAGGCATAGGTGGGCACCACGTACACACATTTATGCATCCAGTGGGTTTAGATTCTCTTAATACACATTTTGAGTGCAAACCAATAACCAAGTGTGAAAATGTATTTTGGCCAGACCTAAATGTTACCAGCCTGTAAAGAGTTTCAGTGATGCAAGAATAAATTTGAAATTTTACAAACCTTGTAAAATAATTTAAATGTTATTATTACAAAATTTCATGAAGCCCTGGACAGTGTGGTTCACCGGTTAGAGTGTCGGCCCATGAACCAAAGGGTTTAGGGTTTGATTCCCAGTCAAGGGCACATACCTGGGTTGCAGGTTTGATTCCGGCCCCGGTCAGGGCACAGGCAGGAAGCAACCAATCAATGTGTCTCTTTCACATCAATGTTTCTCTCCCTCTCTCCCCCTTCCTCCCTCTCTCCCTTCTACTCTCTCTAAAAAAGAAAAAGTCAATGGAAATAATATTCTCAAGTAAGGATTAATTTTTTGAGAAAAACTAAGTATGACATATAGGGCAGGAATAATCATTTCTCAGCACTGTCAGGTTATTACCAAATGACACATTGTTATAATGAATGGGGGCTCACTTTCAACTGAGGGAGGTGGAAGAACAAGAAGATAACCTCCTCCCTGAGGAAAGGCTGTTCATACCAGTGCCTTGTACACTGTAGGTGTTCACTGAGTGAAGGGAAGCACAAGGGACTACATGCCTTCACGTGCGTACACACATCTACACTTCTGCACACACAGTCATTACACAGTTACATAAGCAAACCCATATACACACTGTATTCACTCAGCAATCTCTCAGTTCTTCAACATGCTCAGGATCGCTGGCGCAATCTAGAATCAGAGGCCAGATCCACTCTCATGGAATTCGCACCAAGTGCAACTGAACAGATATTCAGTTGGTTACAATCAGCCTGGATGTGACAGGTATTTGTGAAGACTGGTATGAGTACAGGAAGAGCAAGATCTCCACCTGGGGTTTGTGAATGCTTCCTGGAGGAGGGAACAATGTAGCTGGTGTCTTAAATGAGAAGCAGAATGTTTTCAGCCTCAAATAATAATAATAAAAAAAAATCATAATACTTATTATTTATTTACCTAGCACTGTTCTGACTGATCTATGTAAATGAACTCATTAAACTCTCATCCACAGACATATCAGGTGAGAACCACCATTATGCCCATTTTCTAGATAAGAATACTGAGGCACTGAGTGCTAAATATTTCAAGGTCTCAGAACCAGTAAGTGGCAGAGCCAAGATTTGAACTGAGAGATTCCCATTTCCAGTACAATGGAGTGGGCAAAGGAGCTGTCAGTGGCAGAAGAAAAACCAAGAAAGTGTGATGTCCTGATAGCTCAGGAACATGGTATTTGCAGAAGGAAGCGATCTGGGTGATCAAGGCTCCTCAGTGGTATGGGGAAGACTAAGAAATGTCTTCTGGAAGGCCCTTGGTGATGTTACTGAGAGTTGTTTTGGTGAAACAGCAGTACAGGGAGCGAGTGGAAGGTGAGGACAGGGAGATTGTGGTGGTAGACAACTCTGAGGACAGAACTGATGGGAAGGAATGTCTTTGATTAAAGAGAGAAAACAGGTTCTGTGCTGATGGGAGAATGACTGCCTGCCCACACAGCCACAGGTCACAGGCCACTTACAAGGGCCATACCAACACATCCGTGGTAGACAGAATAATGGCCACCCCAAAATGTCTGTGTCCTAATTATCAGAACCTGTGACATGGCAAATAGGAATTACATTTACAGATGGAATTAAAGCTGCTAATCAGATGACCTTAAACAAGAGATTATCCTGGATTATCTGGATGACCCCAATGTAATCACAAGGGTCTTTACAACTGAAAGAGGGAAGAGGAATTGAGAGAGAGAGAGATGTGCAAGATCAGGCTTTAAAGATTGAGGAAGGGGGCTGTGAGCCAAGGAATGTGGGTGACGTCTGGAAGATGAACAAGGCAAAGAAACTATCCCTTAGAGCTTCCAGAAGGAACACAGCCCTGCCAACATGTTGACTTTAGCCCAGTGAAACCTGTGTCGGACTTCTGACCTATAAACTATAAAATAATATATTTCTCTTGTTTGGAGCCGCTACATTGTTGTGATTAGTTAGTTATAGGAGCAAGAGAAAAGTAAGAGAACACCCACAGCTACTCATCTGACCAAAGGCCCAGCAATATAAGCACTCATGTGCACACAGGGTGGGCACACTCACCTGGGCATTAACCAGCTGGATGAGCTTGTCAAGGTTCTTGAACCACATGTTGGCATTCTCATATTGGAAGTCTGAGCCCATGGTCATCACGGTGTGGTTGGTGCGGTAGAACTGGCCCTGAAGACAGAAAGGAAATGTCCTCAGGTTAGAGCATCCTGGCCACCCCTGTGTACAACTGTGTCTTGGTATATATGTGGTCAAGTGTGAATGCACAGTGGCATGAGGGGAGGGGTGTGTGGAAACATGAAAATGTAGGGACATGAATAAAAATAGTCACAAACTATTGAGTAATTCTCTTAGGCCTGCCACACAGATGAGAGTACTAAGGCATCATGCCATGCTGTTTTCATTACCATGTTGAGTGTGGTGGTGGTGAAGGGGTCCATAGGCTTCTAATCAGAAATACGAAAATCCAGAAGAAGGGTGTGGTGAGGGTGAATGGAATATTACCTTCCTCTGAGGGTATGGGAAGTGTTAGGGAATCAATCTCTGGGCTGTGGGAAGGGCCTGATGCATTATGTACACCAGTCTTCCAGGTTCTGGACACTGAGGTTACCTGGGCTGTGGCTAATTTTAGGAAGTAATCGACCAGTTCTTTGGCATTGTACTCAGGGCTGCGCGGGTCCTCCACAACAGGTTTGTCAGCACACAGGACATCCCAGCAAAGATTCTCCGGTGGATTGTACATGTTGGGGAGCACACCTGTGATTACACCAGGCTCAGGGGGTAGGCCAGCACCTGGGACCTGCCCTGAAGTCAAAGCCTAGCATGTCCCACCCAAGTCAGACTTCAGAATTTACAGGGCCCCAGTGCAAAGTGCAAATGTTGTGCTCTTGGTCATAAATTATTAAAAATGTCAAGATGATGACAGCAGAGTGTAAAACCATGCCTTTGGAGATGGTCCTGCCCCCACCTATCTACCCCCTTACTGGTGAAGAGGTCGGCAGCAGGGGGCTTCAGGCTGGCACTGGCCCGCCACACCTGCTCCATCTCAAGTTTCTTCTTCCGCACCCACTTATCTTGATAATCCAGACGCCCGAAGAAGAAGCCGTCAAAGCCCATCTGGGAGTCGGGTGGGATGAAGACAAGAATGGAGGGCAGGATGACTAAGTGCCCGGCCCTCTCACCACCCCTTCACCCAACCCCCTCAGCACGAAAGGGGTGGGTCAGAGCACAGAAAAAAGCAGGTCAGAAATCAAGGAGGCCTCCAGTGAATATGCAAACTTAGGGAAAGGTCAGAATGCACTCCAGGAGAGGTAAGAGGGGGTGGGTTCAATGCTAGAAACCAGCTCCACCTTCCAGAAAGGGAGCATGAATTGAAAAAATATTCCCTCTTCTGCAGACCAAAGGGGGTCATGACACTGGTCAAGAAGTCTTTTGCAAAGCAGGGCAGGCCTCCACCTGCCACCTGGAGGATCCTTCCTAGCAAATGAGGCAGGGCCAGGAGAAGAGGAGTCACCAGCTGCAGGACAATGGTCAGTCTGGGCTGGAGCAGTGAGAGGCCAAGGCCAGAGAGGAAGGAGTGGGACTCCAGGGGAGGTCAGAGGGACAGGTCCCAGGTGAGTTTGCAGGGATGCGCGGGGCTTGAATGGCTGAGGGAGGAGTCAAAGCTAGTGAAGGGGAGGATTCAAGGGAGGCGGGTAAAGCACCTGAGCAAACAGTGAGGCCTGCTCCCGAGAATGTCCAAAGGGGTCGATGTGCCAGGCCACATGGGGGCGCCCGTCACTGCCAAACGTGTCTTCCAGGAAGCGCAGTCCTAGTGTCATCTGGTCTATAATGGCTCCGTAGTGGGTGGCCGCTTCGTCATTCATCACCCAACCACCATTGGCAAACTCTAGGCGCCCTGTGCCAGGAGGGGCAAAATCCAAGTAGGTTATCAGGGCCAGGAGTGGGGCTGAGTCTGGCAATGCAGGGGATGAGAAGACCTGCCTGCATGCCCACGCCTGGAAGGAGAAGAGGGGTCTCTCCCATGACAGTGTAGCGAGATATGGAACAGAGAGCCCCCTGTATGGCATCCCAGATGATCCACTGGAGGTGGGGCCTTGCAGGATACATAGGAGTTCTACAAATAAAGGGAAATTCCAAGCAAGCAGGGTCACATGCACATTCAGTCTACACATGGCACAATAAAATTAGAGAAGCCAGGGTGAAGGAAACAGAAGCTAGGCTGGGCTTCCTCTTTTCACTTCCTTGGGGCAGCTCACCCTGGCGCACCAGGTCCCGCACAACATCCTGTGTTGCATTTGTCTGTTGATGCCACCAACGGGAGAAGAAGGCCATCTCCACATAGATGAAACGACGGGTAGGTTCCGCCAGCAGGGAAGAGATGACCGAGTCTAGGATGTACTGTACACCCGCATGTTGGATGTTATTGTGGACTGTGGGCACAGGGGTCAAGCAATCAGGGATCAGCAAGCCAAAGGTGACAGTCCTAGACACAGGACCCCAAGCTGGGCATTGCCCCCACCCTAATATCCAGGACCCAAAAAGGATTTGAAGAGCTTGAAGGGATCATGGGAGTCCCAGCTGTCAGACCCCACCCTCTCTACTCACTGCCGTAAAAGTACTGGTCCACTGTCTTGAGCCAGCCCACGTCATCATGTGTGTGGGCCACCAGGTGCACGTTGAGCATGTCTGGCTGCACGGTGGGACATGTCTGCACAGGGACCCCAAATACACACTCACACACCCTGTCACTTACCCCAAGGTCAAGAGGCAGACTGGGGTGGGAGTGGGGGTGGGGGACACAAGGTAAATCTTGATCTACAGGTGAGTGACTTAGAGACGTCGGGCCAAGCCCTCCTAGGGAGGACATGCATATAGTTGTGATCACAGATACAACTCCCTAGTGGCATATCTCCTCAGGGCAGCTCTCATTCACACCCTGGGAAAATAATAATAGTAGTAGCTAATATTTATTAAGCATTTGTAAACACAAAGCAGCCACCCTGCGGGATAGTGACAATATTATCTCCAGTTTTCAGATAAGAGGACTGAGATCAGAGAATTGTAGTGACTGGCCTAAGGTCACACAGTCACGCAGCCAGGAAGTGGAGGACCCAGGGTGAAACTCCAGGCCAGCTGACTCCAGAATTTCAGTTCTCATCCAGCACGCCACCGCATGCACACGCGCGCGCGCGCGCGCACACACACACACACACACACACACACACACGCCCAACCACACAGCACAGTTCAATGCATGCAAAGTCCAGGCAAGCCGACCCACAGAAGGAGGGAGGCAGGTCAGGCACAAGCAGCCCGGTTCTCAGAGACGCAGAGACAGACCCCTCACTGACACAAAGCACGAACTCAAGCCACCCTGTCATACTAGCGATCATAAACTAGGCACCCATAGAACAGACCCATCCACACCTCCACACCCCACTCGGGGTTTCCCTCCGGCTTGTGGACATTTCCTCTCCTGGGCCCCGGCTCACCTCGTATCCGGCGGCCCGAGCGCTGGGCGCAGCCAAAAACAAAAAAAGAAAGAAAAGGGGTGGGAGCAGTGGTCGCAGCGCGCGGAAGCTTGTCCAGGGACCCGCTGCACCCCGGCCGCAGCCAGCGTCGACCCCCAAAGACCGCGCGTTAGCTCCCATAGCTGCGCCGCCGCCGCCGCGGCCACCGCTGTGTGTTCCTCCTGTGAGTTCCCGGCCAGGCTAAGGCCCAGCAAAGGCCCCGCCCCCAGGTCGCGGCCTGGCCAATAAGCGCTTATACGTAGGGGCGGGGCTAGGACGCAACTCAGTGCGTTTTGGGATTGAGGCCGTGGTTCGTGGTACTTCTTGTGGCATTGGGCATGTCCCACCCTGGAGGTGCTGGTTTGGACAGAGGAGCGTTTAGCGGCCTTCCTGTGAACTTAGAGTGCCCCTTTGTCCCAGTAAGCTCAGAGGTCTCAGATCTTCCTACCCGTGCCGCATTTGCCTAGAAAGTGGACTGTGCATGGGGTCCTAAGGTGTTCCATTAACCTTCAAGGCTGGGAGCAGGGAGAATTTGATAGGGGTCCTGTTCTGTTCAATGGGAATTGAGACGTTGGGTAAAGGATCTGCCCTTGGAGCGCTGGGAATAGGAGGCATACAGCCTGGTTGGGAGAACTACCCATGTTAGTACACGCAGACTCAAGAAAAAAGCCCAAGACTGAAAATCTATCTCCATAAGCAGAGAGCAGGTAAAGTCCAAAGAACTAGGCTGCCCACTCCAGTCTGATAATTAATAGAGCTTATTAAGGGAAGTTTACATAGGAGGCACGTCTTGGGTGGCTGCAAGAGGACATGGATCCCTGCTCCGCTTGGGTAAGGGGTGAGGGGGACTAGTACATGAATGCTATAAGGTATGAAAATTACTTCACATGCTTGAACAAGTCAGACACCCTGTTCCAGGAATAGCACATAGCAGGAGGCAAAGGAAGGGTAATGATTTATGTCCAAATGAACATCAAGTACAATCAGACAGTCTCTAAGGGTCCAGCATTGGTCACATCATGGAACAGTCTCTCCTCCACACACTACCCTTTGTGACCAGCTCTTACATGACCCCTCAGGTATCCTGAGTGGTTCACAAGAAAGTTCAGGGAGGTAGCTCTCTTATTTGCCAATTGACCTCATTGGAGACACAGTCTGCAGGAACAGTAAAGTAACATACAAGAAAAAAGACATTAAAATAAACAGTCCAAGTATTAATAACACCTTTTTCCATCATGCTCCACCGCCCTCACACCCACCCAAAACTCACCCAGTGGGTTAGTAAGTCACTTAGGCTTGGGCCAGGTCATTTAAGGCATTTACGTGAGTTTTTATATGTGCTACCAAAGAAGAAATGTTAGCAGATTCATCTGGCATAAGAACACAGCATTCACCCAGAGACATGGAAGTTGGGTACAGACTGACAATCCCCAGAAGAGGGGGTGGTGGGGGAGAGATAAACCACAGAACTTATATACATGTATGCATGAACGATGGACATGGACAACAAAGCTGGGGACAGGGCAGGGAGGGAGAAGAAGGGTGGAATCAGTGGGGGAAAAGGGAGAAACATAGGTAACAATAATTAATTAATTAATTAATTAATTTAAAAATTAAAAAAAAAAAAGAACACCACATTCAATTTGGATAATGGCACAGGCACACACACACACACACACACACACACATCCCTATAACTGAATGCTACAGAAACAGCTACAAGTTCAGAGAGACAAATATTTACTAGGAACTTGAATTGGGAGATCTATGAGAATTACACTCATAGGCTGATCTTCAGATATTAATGTAGCCATAGTGTTTGGAACCTGGCCCAGCTTTGTAAACTATATTTGTTGGTCAGGATGAAGTGGTGCTCTCTGTTATAAGAAGGTGAATAGGGCCCTGGCCAGTTTGGCTCAGCAGTTAGAACATCGGCCCACAGACCAGAGAAGCCCGGGTTCAGTTCCCACTAAGGGCATGTACCTCGGTTTGTCCCCAGCCCTGGTTAGGGTCGTGTGGGTGGCAAGTGGTTGATGTGTCTCTCTCACATCAATGTTTCTCTCTCTCTACCCCCCCCCCTCATTCTCGCTCTATCTGAAGATAAATGCAAAAATGTCCTCGGGTGAGGATAAAAAAATAAAAATAAAAGAAGGTATATAGGGGAGGAATATATTAGATCAGGACCCCTACCTTCTCCCCTCTTTCAATGATGCATGTACCAGTCCACATATAGCCTGTCTCCATGGGTCCCAACTGCATTAGGATGACAAGGTCCTATGGGAGACTGAGCAGATTCTGTCCCCCAGGGGCATGAAGTAACCAACCCATTCCAGCATAACATCCCATAGCAGATTCCAGTAAATGGTCTGCACTCCAGGGACAATAGGGTCTGCTACTCTCAGTATCGTGGCCCACTGGTCCGTGGCAAGCATCAAGACTCTTACAGTGTCCTTTGTTTCCCACACCTTTACCACATTAGGTGGCTCATTTGAGTTCCCAGCCTGGAATATAGAGCAATAGGCCCCACAAGATGGTCATTTAAGTGTATTTACACTTGGGAAAACACCTTTGTATACCTGGCAAAGTTGGTTTTCAAGTTAGTAATTTTATCTTTTAAGAACACTATTTTTTCATTCTAACAAACCCAGCTGCCTGTTATATGGGAGATGGAACCTGCATTCAATAATTGTATTGACCAGATCACTGTATGTTAAAGGCAACTCTGCCTCCTTAGCTATGCACCATCCCATTTGGGCACTATCAGGCCCACTCTTCCAGTGTACCCAATCTGTGGTGTCAACTGACCACTCAGTTGCTAAAGCATGTATTTTTGCCAAGGCATCTGCTTCCTGGTTACCTGGAGGTGTAGATGCCTTATGGGCAGGCACATGGAAGATACCAAGATCTTCCCCAGGCTCTTGTAAGCAAGCCCCAACTATCTTTCCAAATCTCTTGTCCCCAAAATATTTCTTCATAATCATCCACCCCTCCATTTCCATTGTCCAAGCCATAAAGTAAATCCCTGCAAAATACCCAAGTGTCAGTACACAGGATCAGTGGCCAAGGTTCATGTGTGATACCAACCACACAGCTCTTAATTCAACCCACTGACTATTGTGGTTTGCTCCCTTGCCATCCAAATAGTGTCAATGGACAACTGAATGGCAACTGCAGTCAAGGTAGATGAATTACCCTAGCTAGAGCTATTAGTATACCAAGTGCCAGCAAGTTCCCCTATTCCTTCTTCCCAGGCTATAAGGTCTGACCCAGGGATGGAGCAGGAGAATTTGGAGGGTCTATATATTTAACAGAACCTAATAGTTGCTGCATCTCTAGAGACAAAGGGCTATTTGACAAAGTACTCCTCTGCTATAGTAGGCATGCCACCTAGTCAGCATTGGAGTCCGAGCCAGGGCAGAGGCAAGTCAGTGGTATCAAGGTGTATCTGATTTCTGCCCTCTTCCACTATTGGGACCAAAATCTAAGGGGCACTTGCTTCTTTTGCTGTTTTTGCACATGCCTTCTGGGGTTATTCAAATATCTGATTCAAATGGCAACCCAGCCTGGGAAATTCCAAGGGCATTAATCTGTTGGACCAGCATTTTTGCTTTCTCAAAAGCAGCTTATTGTTTGGTGCCCCAATCCCATATATGTACCTTCTGTGTGTGTGTGTGTGTGTGTGTGTGTGTGTGTGTGTTATTTTTTGTTTGTTTGTTTGTTTGTTTTTGTTTTTGTTTTTGTTTTTTTTGCATTTTTCTTCAGATAGAGGGAGGGAGAGAGGGGGAGGAAGAGAGAGACAGAGAGAAACATCGATTTGAGAGAGACACATCAACTAGTTCCCACCCACACAACTTCAACTGGGGCCAGGGACAAACTGCAACCGAGGTACATGCCCTTAGCAGGAATCAAACCGGGCCTGTCTGGTCCATGGGCCGACACTCTAACCACTGGGCCAAACCGGCCAGGGCTATATGTCCCTTCTTAACTAGGCAATATAAGGAGCAAAATATATGTGCTAAGTGGAGAATAAATGTTCACCAGCACCCCTAAATTCTCACAAAAGGCTGTACTCCTTTCATATTTTTTAGTATTTGGTAGGCTTTCTTGTCTATGACAGCCTCAGGGACAATGAGGGTCTTACCCAACCATATGACTCCAAAGGACTCTCCTGCAGGGCCCAGACCTAGAATTTTCTGCTTATTCATTGCCCATGCTTTCTGTTGTAGATGATCCAGTAAAGCCTGCAAGGTTTCCTGCAGCAGAGGCAGATCTTCATGGCTTATCATTATGTCATCAATATAATGAGCCATTTCACAAAGGTCAGGAAGAAAAACAGTGAAACAGTGACAGGTCCTGAACCACCATCCCACAGCATATAGTGGAGCTACGTAAATAGCTTTGAAGAAGTGGTTGGAAGGTATATACCCCAAGTGGGAAACACATTTTCTAACAATTTCTCTGTTACTATGAGAGCATCAACCTTGAAACAGAGAAGGCTTCATTCAACCCATCCAGAAAATATACACACAACAGCAAGAAAATATTGATAACCCATACTAAGTGACGGTTGAATAAAGTCCAGCTTACGTGCTGTATGGTACATGAAGAAATACAAAAACAAGAACAAAATAAAAATGAGGTTTGCCAGGGAGCCAGGAAGAATCAAGGCTGCTTGGGTTTCCCATTACCCCAACTGGTTAACTTACAATCATTGTTTACCCATCTATTTCTTCTTTTTCAAATTATAAGACAAAGTTTATTTAGAAAGTTAGGGAGCCCTGGCCAGTTTGGCTCAGCGGTTAGAGCGTTGGCCTGCGGTCCGGAGAGACCGGGTTCGGTTCCCGCTAAGGGCACGTACTTTGGTTGCAGTTTGTCCCCGGCCCTGGTTGGTCGTGTGGGTGGCAGCCACTCGATGTGTCCCTTCACATCGATGTTTCTCTCTCTCTCTCCCTCCCACTCTATCTGTACAAAAAATGGAAAAATATCCTCGGGTGAGGATAAAAAAAAAAAAAAAGAAAAAAGAAAGGGAGATACAACAACATTTTATTTATTTATTTATATAACTTTTTATTCAAGGACATTAACAATTAGTATTATATCGATAATGATTTAAACATAGCTAATTAGCCCTGGCCGGTTTGGCTCAGCGGTTAGAGCATCGGCCTGTGGTCTGGAGAGGCC